GATGCCGTTGTTGCTTGCAGCGTATCACACATCCGGGTAGAATAGAACATCCGACGTGCTATTTCAATGTCATAACAGTTAACAGCATTAATTCTAATTATTACGTTAATTGTATCAATTATTATGTTAATTCTAATATTTTTTAAATTTTGATATTATAATATCTACACAGAATGGTCTTTCCTATAACACACTCTAGGAATATTCATGACTTGAAAATATCATTTTCGGTCATATTCGTGTTATTCTGTTATATTTCTTAAAATTATTCTCGCCACGCGCATTACTGGAAAGGAAAATCCATATCAAGATAAAAAGGAAGTATCATCGCTCTTTGAGGTAATTAATCAACGTCTCGTACGTGTACGACGCATAGAAAGCAGTTTATCAATTTCGCCACGGCTGACGACGATTTCGTCGTGTTGGTCGCTCCGCGCGTTCAGATTCTCTTAAATACTACAAAGTGAATAGATCCCTCTCGCGACTTGAGGTAACAACGCCCGTCTACTACTAATTGCTGCTTGCTGGCACAATGCTCCACTATCCGTCCAGCCGCGCGGGTCTCCGCCGCGCCGTTTCCGCACAGAAAGGCACGTAGTGGAACGAATCCGGACTGACATTACTCTCTAACGGGGCATTGTTTCTGCCGGCTCGCCAGCGTTTTCGCCTCTAAGAAGTGCGCCCCTGTCCGCTATCGCGGCCCTCCTCCCGAAAGTCTCGACAGACCGGAAAACGTTGTAAAAGTTTTGCGGTAAATCGCAGCAATCTCGCCGCTCCCGTCGTTTCGTCGACAATAAGATTTTATCGTGTCGACACGTTTTCCGCGTGAAAAGCGTTTAACTAAATGACGGTAGAACGACTTACAGTTTTCCCCGTAGTCTATAACTTATTATTACGATCATTGATACCGCTCTCATTATGAAATTCTCGAATGGCCACTTCTTCCTTCGTTTGTAAAGGAGCTTAAAGGCAGGACATCAAGTCTTATCGCCGCCTTTCTTCTTTCGTCGTCTCCTCCACTTTCGTCCTTCGTATTCATGCCGTTGAAATGCATTATCATGAATATGCTCTATGAATATTTTAATTCCTGTCTTGCCCGTGTTATATATTTTAAATACAGCGGCTTAACCTGGAGTCTCTTATATTTTAATTACGCATGCGAGGCTTCTCGCTTAAGCGAACATAATGGTACATGTATGTATAAATATATCCAAGATAATTTTTCGAGATTTTATTCTTTAGCTGCCTTAAATGAAATTTATTATAAAATTAATTCAAAAATAAGATTTTATTAATTATTTATATCTTCAAAGTTTAATTTTCAATGGTATAGTTTTAGCTCTTATCAATTTGTCGTTGTCATGTTTTTCGATTGAAGAAAGTATCAATTTTTTTGTCTATAGAAAAAGTTACTTTTTCTATAGACAACATGAATTTATATCTATGTTTGGAGGAACTTTTCCCAAAACTCTCATCGTTTTTTTTTTCTTATACTTTTAGTGAAGATTACGCAAAACTTGGAGTGAAAATACGTTTTTTATGTTTTATTATTATTTATCTGTTTCCAAAACGCGCGCGTTCGCGAAGCGGCACGGGCGTTTATATTTTGGAGGCAATATCGAGCCGCGAGAGTACATTGGGAAAATAATCTCGAGTTGCTGGCGCGCAAAGGCAGCTCGGGCAGAGCAAAGGGCTAAAACGGGAAGAGGCGCGGTGGAGAAACGCCGGAGGAGACGGGATTCCGAATCGACGCGGACTATGCGTGGCGCGCGAGATCACAGAGACGGAATCCCGACGTAAACAGGCTTAAATTGTAATCTCGGGCTTTCGGCTCTCTCTCTCTCCCGACGGGATACTTGTTGCTCGTCTACTCTTTGATGTCCGGTCATGCGGCGCTCGAGAGATCAATATACGCTCATTAACGAGCGCGGCCGTTCGCGGTGCCAAAAGGACACGCATGCGAATATCACGCGGGTAACGTTAACCTTGGCAGCAGGTGGCATAGACGATCACCGCTGCAATTATCCACCCTGCTTTTTACGACCGACATATTTGCTTGCCACTGCCACGAGAACAACAAGGGACGCGTCATCTCGGTTTCGGAATCGCATCATTCCTGTTTCGGAGTCGCAGCACATATGTGACAACCGTAAATGTCTATCACGTTTTGAATAAATAGCTATATCGTACGTCAATTATTGTTCTTGTGGTAATCGCTTAAAACGATATGAATTATACAGTTTCGACAAGAAGACAAGAAATGGATAATACAATTGATCCTGGGATTATATTGCTATTAGAACTCTGAACTCTGATGAGAAAGAGAAAGAGTGTGTGTGTATTTTTGGAGGAATTTTTATATCTCTAAAAGTTACTAAAGTTATTAAAGTTACTAAAATAAATTACTAAAATTACAAAAATTTAAATTTTAGAAACTCAAAAATTACTTAATGTTTCTTTATATTAATTATCATTAATACTTTACATGTTGTATCCTACAGTTGAAAATAATCTGAAACTGTATGTAAAAATCACATATATTATTTGATTTCTTTAATTAAAGAATAGAAGTAATTTCTGTTATAATTATTTAATAAAAATATGAAGTAAATGAAATATTCTGAATGTAAATAGGATAACAATAAATATTGGAACAATGTAATGTTTTAGTCGAACAATTTTTGAATGAGTGAATACGTGAAAAGTTATAACTGCAGAAATTGAGAGAAAGAGAAGAACAAATTATGTTTTATTTATATCGATTGTTATACGCTTTTGCCATTTACATTTATAGTTCACGCGGAAAAACATTTTGCACGTTCTCTCTCCGAAGCTCTCGTTCGGAGCTTCCGTTTTTTGGGTTATTGTAATCGCTGTTTGGAAAAAATATAGCTCCGTGTAAACCATGCCCTTTCAATTTTGAAGTTTGTACAAGGGCGCAGCTGGTGGATCGAGTGGATATATCCCTCGCGAAATTTTCAACAATTTCGGGAATTATCCTCATCGTTCAGTTATCGCAAAAACGCGGATCGGAGACGCGACGATAATATCGCGCGCGAATAAATTTATTTTCCCTTTTTAATTTTCCGCTGCCATATCCCCTTAATACGTGCCGCGAACGGCTGTCGACGACAGACGACGATAAATTTGCGGGAGAGAATCGCACGCGATTCGCGGGAGCTCGCGGTTTATCGCGTGCGCGGCTAGCTGCCGCAGTGATTTATCACGTGCGTCCTCGCGCGAATTCTATGCGCCAGATCAAGCGCATCCTAGACGGCCGTCCAGGAAGTCGCCCGATGACGTAGAGCTCGCGCACGAAACAGCCTCTCAACCTAATGAGACTCAATCGACATCGTAATTAACGACATTGCTTGTGTCGATATTTACGCCGAGGCCATAATATTATGTAACAACTATGATTAAATTAAATTTAATTGTTCATTAAAATTAATATTTTAATTGTCAATTTTAATTAGCTAATTTAAATATATTAATTGATCTAAATTATTTTAAATCTATTATACATTTTGCATTGCCTTTTGGAATCTTTCGTCCGAAATGATCGATCGATCGCATCGCGCGTTAAACGTTACGTGCTCTAGACTTTTTTTTAGTTTTACTCATCTAATGAAGATAGATATGTGAAGATTTAACGCAGTTTTGTTACAATTATACGATCGCATTACGTGGTCTTAATTGTGCATGAATAATGGCTTTGGATTAATTGCTTTAATTATTTCGCCTGACATTTTTGTATCGTCCGCGATATAGATCCGCATAACTCATTACGGAAACGTTGTTAATGCGGATAATATTTATTGTATTTTTCGCGTTTCCGTGACGCGCAAAAGAGGTGTTATGTTTTGACGTGCGAAGAGCATTAAAAATATCAAAGTGAACGCTATGGTGGAGAATTGCCGTGTGTGTATATATGTGTGAGAGAAAGAGAGAAAGAGAGAGAGAGAGAGAGAGAGCAAAAGCTTGCGAAATCGTGATAAAGAAAGATTTCGAGGGCGGCGGCAGCGGAGGTTAAATAACCCCTCGGAGAATTCGCGACCGATGCGGGAGTTTCGTGGCAGGCGGGTGTGTTCAAAGGCTTTCGTTAAATCGTACTTAAAAGTTAAAGGCCACTGTATACGCTTGAGATGCCTAGTCGCACACGACTGTTGTCGGAGGGGGGGGGGGAGAGAGAGAAGGAAACTTTCGTGGTGTGGAGGGGCGACGGGTGAGAAACGCGCGGCGGGTACCCGTGAAAGCAGAACTTCCAGATGATCAAAGAGCGTTAAAAGAGGATTGGGATGCCTCGGCCGCTACTCGTCTTACGACGTGCCCGTGTGTATGCGCGTGCGTGTATATGTGGTAAGAAGGAATTAATACACAGGACATTCGCCCCTGTTGTTGATGATGATGACGCATGCGATAGCCTCCCTCTTTATTTGACCCACGGATATAAACTCTGGATTTATGTATATATATATGTTTTTTATTATTATTATTTATTACTGTCTGTATGTTTTTTATATGTTATGGCGCTTTATTAATTTTATTTATTGTTTTTATTCAGATTTGGCTTTATTTATTTTCGCACAAATTGGCCGAGTAGCTTCAATTATTTTATTTGCTTGGTGCATGTTTAATAGTTGGTTAAAGTTATATAATGTGTAAAATATATTAAAATAATATAGGACAAAAAATCGTGTGACAATTGTAAAGTAAAAAGTAATTATAAATTCTTGTATAAAAAATATATGTATATTAATTATGTAATTACTTATATATAATTATCATTGTTGCTACATATAATAATAATAAGCTATTTATTGATTTATGCATATAAGTTTTGATATACAGATTTTTGCGAAAATTTACAAGTTACTCATAATTTCATATTTTTATTCAACAAGATTTTATACTTAATATTCTTAAAATTTATTTAAAAAATCAAGTGAAGTTATCACACAGAATCGTGATATATGCTCGTGTAAATAAATTCGACTCACCTGCAACGCCGTCTTCATCTTGATACACTCTCGTATACTAGTAGTACAGCTGCTATTCACGTGACAAATCTTCGTATCTTCATTCACACGCAACCATTGCAGTTTATGTTCGATCACCTTCAATCCATGCGCATGCAACAGCGCGAATCTATCCTCACGCGGATCATTTTAGTCTTATCAAAGAATCACAACAGCACTATGATTTTCTGTCGATCCATTCGTACTCGGTTGATGCGAAATTCACGGAGAAATATTCTATATTTCTCTGATTGAAACGTCCGCGCGACGACAATCTGACGATGCGATTAATATCTAAGCGGGGGTTGAAGGTATCACGAGAGAGAGTCACGTGGTGCGTCACGCATTTGGGTGCGCGTGCACTAATTTCGCTCTCTTCCTCAGCGTCCGGCTTGACGGTTCGGAGCGCACTGCCGTCACTTTTCGCTTCGACCGCTTCCTTTTCTTCTTCTCTCCTTCCTCGCTCCTTCCGCCAATGCACCCTTCTTCTGCCAAAGGCACGAGGGGCCGAGTACGCGCACGTGCCGGGCACGATCGACAAAGTAACAGCGACTGACACTTCCTCTTCTTCTCGCCCGATTTTTCTTCCTCTCCTCCTCGTCCACCCCCCTCCGGCGCCCGTTCACCCGTTTCGAATTTCAATGCACCCCTTCGAATTCGCGATGCTTACGCAAGTTTACGCTTAGGAATTTTAGACTGCAGCGCTCATTATTGATTTGGAGAAATTTTTTTTCAGCTTAAGGAAGAGTCTCAGTAGGAGAATTCGAGCGTAATTGGAGTAAGACGATTAATTGAGAGGTATAGATGAGCACGCTTTCACGTGATCTTGCAATACGAGAGATCGTGTAGTACAGCTGCGCCTTGCTCCTTGTGCTATCAGAGTCGGGAACCGACTGACAATCGGGCCAGCACAAACCGTGCGAAGTAACCAGTAAGAGCACACCGGTGTGAGAGGGGTAGGGAAGAGCAAGAAAGAGAGAGCCAGAAAGAGAACGAGGGAGACAGAGAGCGAGACGGAGGCAAGTCTCGAGGGTGGTGGAGAGAAGCGTGGTTCTCACTATCACGGGCAGGGTTGTTTTGACTGCGACGAGGTCGCGCGAAGATCACGGACGCTTCGGTATCGATTCGGTCAGGTGCCTCCTTTAGATTGTGCGATTTTGTTATTTCAGCCGTGAATACGTTTCTTGTTTGACATGATTTGTGCAGAAAAAATGATACATAGATCAATATACGTCTCTTTGAAATTTTCCACCGATGGCATAGTTTTAATTAAAATTTTAATTAATCTCAAAACATGCTAAAAACATACGCATTTGATTCTTTATTGTTTAACTTTACAATATTTGAATTCAATAAATCTTTGTAATTAATATACAATTGATTATGTAACGCGATATTATAATTTTAATTACTAAAATTATTGATTCGATTATATTACACGCATTCCTTAATTAATATTAAACCGTGAAGAGATAACAACAATATGATAAAAAATATTCCGAGAAATATTCCAATATATTTGACATACCGACATACGTTTTCAATGATAAAAAGTTAATATCTATGATTAAATTATTAAAAATGATATCGAATATTTGTAATTAATGAACAAATTACATAATTCGACTAGCAAAATTATCCACATTGTTTCCTATTTCATGAAAATGAATATCGAGCATGAAGCACGGCGTAATATCAGCTCTTTCATCATTATACGTACACATAAGGAAGACCGATAAATGCTTTATGTAAATGAGAGTTCATTTGATGCGGTTTATGATTTCTGGATTTCTATTAATAAAACGTAATTAGATTTCAATATTTGATTTTTGCTTGATAGCTCGATTTGATTGAGATAATTACGATCGATAATGAGCTCGATGATACCGCGATATCTTATTTTCCGAGCACGCACTTTGCATAGAATCTTGAATTAATTTGCGATTCATTCATTGTTACAGCGTCAGAGAAATTATTATATACGATATTGTTGGTATCGCGTTGCGCAATATCGCATAATGTTTGCACTCAATATTACAGAGGAAAATTGCTAAACTGTGGTATACCGTTGGAGACACTTTTTTGTATAATTGCGGTTTAAATGTTTTTATAGTTTATTTTATCGTACATTGAACATGGATATTCAATTAATAAATAGCATGCTGGCTATTGAATATATAGTTCATACGCATTTGTCGATTTTTTCATCCTCGCTTCTCCCGCTAATTGAAGCTTAAATTTACAATTTCATTCGGTGCGAACACACCACAATTCACAGTATTGAAGGAGCATATCGGGCGACTAGTCAATTTATTTTCTATATTCAGTATAAAGCGTGGGAATTCTGATATTTCATTATAAATGTATTACTGCGATAAATAATAGATTAACAATGCTGCATTACTGTGTATAATAAATAAGAAAATAACAATGCTGCATTATTTTTCAAATACTTTAATTTTTGCAAAAATTGATATACCAAAAAGTTTTGGTATGTTTTTTTCGAATCGATGGCCCGTTATTTATTAAGCATCAGATGATATGAATATATGATTGTCTTTTTACAATTTTATTAAAAATATTTGCTTATATACATATATGTAGTATACTAAAATTAAAGAAATGTTCGCTCTAACAATAAGTAACATATTTTCCACGCACGGAAAGAACGATTTTGTTGAACGATCTAAAAATTTTGCTGAAAACAGATCTAAAAATAATTTTTTATTGAATCATCAAAATAATTTGTTGGAATGTTAAACCTGATAAGTATTACTATAAAACATTTTGATATTCTAGCAATCATTTTTACTTTCGCACAAAATATTATAATTTTGATTATTGAACAAAAATTATTTTCTGATCTGGATTCAGCAAAATTGTTCTTTCCGTGACTTATACACATCTCTGAGCGGGCTGGC